GTGAGCTAGGTGCCTATCTCATGGAATTCTTATGCGACCTCAGTGAAATTAAGCCATCCTGTGAAATAGTGCCTCGCACCTAGTAAGTGCTCAGCAATCATGAACCATTATTATTACACAAATGCTGCTGAGCGTGGTGGAGGAAAAGGCTGATATATTTACCTGAAATCCAGAAGGGAATTCTGGAAAGCTATTAGCAAATATGGAAAAGGAAATAAATGATGTCCATTCTCACATTATAATTGAGAAACAAGCATCGTGACACATTTTGTAAGATGAGTACTGGACATAAAGTGTGTGACAAGGGTTGAGATGGAACTTTGATTTAAGGTTGCATTTATTCTTGACCCTCTGTAATCTTGACATATCACTTAACCTCAGCTTTCCAATCTTTAAAGTGGGGATAATCACAATGGTCATTGTGCTGCTCCAAGCCACAGTGGCAAAGGCAGCAGGTTGGGGGTGAGAGGTGCAGTCAGTGGAGCGAAGTGGCTGCTTCTACCATGGACAAGCACTCCAGAATCTCAGAAACTTTAAATGCTGAAAGAATAAAGAAAACTTTTAAACCTTTATTCTTTTAGTGAACCAGTTAAAACTGCACATTCACAGGGCAAGGGCTAGCGTGCAGTCCTCAGTTGTGTTAAAAGGTGGGCTCTGGCTGGTGATGCTGAGACCCAGAGGCCAGGGCCGCAGCGGGCTGCAGGCACCAGCCTGTCCTGCTGCAGAAAAGCAGCAGCTGCACTTGGCATTGTTGGGCATTAACCATATTCCCAGTAGCCACAGATTGCACAACAAGACACACCTCTTCCCACATCCACACACAAAAAATAAATGAAAATAAAAAATAAAATAAAAATGGAATGGGGAACAGAGAAATCTCAAAATGATCTCTTTTGCTCCATCCTCGGCCTCATTAGCTCCCCCTCGTCTCCTTCGCCAATCCATCTCTTTGACAAGATTATGCAAGAAAGGAGTTAATGAGTACACAGCTTTATTTTCCTTGGACAAGAGATACAAAACAGGCTTACGGCAGGGCTGTCATCACCCAGCCAGTCTCCAGGGGTGTTACAGGTAATTATTAACTCTTTGTGGCATTCTTTGGGGGGCTGGGGGCTCTGTGCTGCAAGCACCTACTGAGCTTTTCCATCTGCAGTGTGTATGTGGGCTCTGAACTGTTCGGTGTTCGCATTCACAGATCCCTTAAAAGGAGCCTTCGAAGTGTGTCCGCTGAAGAGTCTGCAAAGCCCCTTGCATCTGAGGTCACAGTGGATCCTCCCTTACCCGTCTTAGCACTCAGGTCAGAAGCTCCCCTCTCTCTGCTTCCATGTGAGAAAACAAGGCTAAGAGAAAGGAAATGAGGGGCCGGGGTTTCCCGAGGAATAAGACCTGGCTAGACTCTGGGACTTAGGAGCGCTGCTGGTGCTTTTCTAATGCACCGAACACAATGTAGACCACTACCCGCCGGCAAGTCCCCTCAGTCCCGCACTCTGTGACACCATCAGCCGTCGCCACCTGGAACTGAAACACACCGCCACCATTCAGTCCCCTGGAATTTCTATGTGTGTGTATTTTAAATACCTGTGATCAACCTGCTTTCTTGATATTTTGTCATTTGGTTCTCTCCCCACTTGATGATTTGAGGCCATTTAAATGCTGGGTTCCTCTCTTACAATGGGTTTAAGCTGGTTAACTGCTAGGGCTTCTGCATTTCAGGCAGACCTGCAGTCACTTCCATCAGGGGTTCAATTTGATGCTGGCCCCGGAGTTTGGTCTCTGGTGGGTTAAAACACTCCGGAAAACAGAAAGTGCCTGGATAACCCCTTGAAGGAATAAGTATTCAAAATTACGAAAAGGTCAGGGAAGGAAAACGAGGCCCGGGGTGCCCAGATCAGCTGCTGTTGTGTGCGGAGGAGATCAGGCCTTCCCTGTGAGCAGGGCCACCGCCGTCCTAGCAGCTGGCCCTTGTTCAGGTGCCTCTGATCCTAGGCGGCTGCGACAGTGAATTCTCCCCTGAGCTCGAAGCCCACTCTCCTCTCCGTCACCAGCAGGTTGCTAGTGTGCGGGCAAGCTTCCATACATGGTGTGGGGAGTAGACATGACGTCATGGACAGAGGAACTGCCAAGGCTCAGGCGCCCAGGGCCCCCAGAGTTCCTGGGTTTTGGAATCCTCTTCTCTGGCTACGCGGTAACCAGACCACAGGGGATGCTTGGGATTATGGGCACACCCTGACCTTGCAGGTTCCCAAGCCCTGTCCTCCAGTACTCCTGCGTCCCTAAAAAGAATCATACGGGTACACCCACAGCGTTTGGAACACGTTTGACAAGAAATATCCATTTTATAATACTAAGAGTGGAACAAACCTGAAAGATGATTTTAAGTCAGCAGCTCAAGTTCAATGAGTTAAATTTATTTTTGTTGCATATGCTGTTCCATTGGGGTGGGGGAGGGGAGGGACAAAAAGAATGGCAGTTTTGTATAAGGAGAAGTTTATGGCTATTTGGCATTAAATTACTGCTTATTGTTCTTTGGCCTGAAAAAATTTAAGGAACACCGATATAGAGGGCTTCATAAAATTGGAATCCTTTAAACTGCATTCCTCTGCTTATTATTATTTTACCAAAAGGCATTACAACAAGGAGATATACTTCTTGTCCAGCTGGAAGGTTTATGTTTTTGTGGATTACACATGAAACACCAAAGCTGGTTAAAGCTCTATGTAGGCTGGGTCAGGTGCAGTATTTTTCAGATAATGCTTCTTGGGAATCATGTTTGGATTTATTTACACACATATTTGAGCATTGCTTTGATGATGTGAGAGAGGAGAGAGAAAGAGAGAGAGAAGGAGAGAAGGAAGAGGAGGAGGAGGAGGAAGAGGAGAAAGGAGGGAGGGAAGGGAAGGGAAGGGAAGGGGAGAGAGGGAGAGGGGAGAGAGAGAGGGAGACGATGCACCATTATCTGATAGCATAATGAATCAGAAGAAAGGAAAGAAGTAAAAAGAAAGGAAGAAAACAGCAACCTCTTGACTATCAAGCCCAAACCCGAGTTTGAAGAAAGTGGTGCTCTTATGGCTGAGGGAAAGTTTGACATCTCAATTAAAGCACCGCATTGGGGGGGTGGGAAGGGGGGGAAGAGGCGGCTTGGAATGTGTCAAAAATGGACCAAACCCTTTAAACAGCTTGTGCTTTCTCTTCCTGAGAAACATCTTCTCCCTCTTTGTTTTCATAAAACAGAAGTCAGATTTTATTTGCTGGAGCAAATGTTTTTCAACAGACTCAACTTGCTTAATTTTCCTGACAGTGTGTGCAGTTATGTTAGAAATTTGCATTCTCCTGGGAAGAGACGTGAGACACCAGTAAACCAAAACGGCCAGGGGGCAGTTCTATGTATTTCTGTGCTAATCCCTCCAACCCCTTTTCACTGCCTATGCCTGTCCCCTCAGCAGGTGCCTGCCTTGCACTGTCATAAACACTTGGTTACTATGTTCCAACCTTAAAGTTAGAAGTTTGTAACAACTATTATTTCTCTTTTTACTCTTATGAGTACTCCATCTATAGCTTCTTGAAAACTGGCTTTAAAGAAACCTTTGACTTAAACAAACGAGCAAACAAACAAACAAACAAACAAACAAAGTAAGCCCTACAACTAACTGGGCGGCGTGGGTGGGGTGAGGTGGAGGCGGGGTGGGGGTGGGGGTGCAGTACACATTTTGGTAATCATGGACAGGGTGCTGGATATAAGAGGTCAAGAACAAGTCAGGAGCAGAAAGGAGGAAGGCTGTCACTCCTGATGAAATAATAATGCAAGATGCTCCAGTCAGTAGGACACTTGTCAAGTTTTAAGTCTGTGCCTTTGCTCTTAGAAGAAACCAGCAAAACTGGTGCGGATTTGCTCTAAATCTAAATCTTGGGGGAGGAGGAAAGAAAACTTGGGATCAGGAGGCTCCAAAGGGTGGTGAAGGTGGGGGTGGGGGTGGGGGGTAGGGAGCCCGTTCCCCTCTTAACCAGTTTTCTTTTCCCCCTCCACCCAGAGGGCAGGCAAGTCTTTACCCCTCTGATCGCTTTCTCCTTCTGCACCGCGGCCAGCGCGTCCCCTTTAAGAGCCGGAGGGCGGCTCCGCCTCTCCCCGCCCAGGCCCCCGCCCTTCACACCTAGGGTGGGAAAAGGGAGGGGGGCGGGCGGCCCGAGAAGTGGGAGGGGCGGGACCACGGTGAGCGCGCCAATGGCCGCCCGGGCTGGCCGCCGTGGGCTCGGGCAGCCAATCAGCAGGAGGCGGGGCGTGGCGGGCGCCGTGGCAAAGCCCCCAACGTGGGCCGGCCGGAGGCCGCGGGGCGCCGGGCCCGGGTGTGAGGAGGCGAGCGGCGGGGCGGGGCGGGGCGGGGCCTGGGGCCGCGGAGCTGGGTCGGCGGCGGGAGGCGAGCCGCTAGCGGCTGATTGTTCGGGGGCGGGCGGGCGGCGAGGCTCTCGCAGTGCGGCGCGGGGGAGCCAGCCGTGCGTTGTCCGGGGCTGCGCGCTCGGTGCTGAGCCCAGGACAGCGGGGCGCGCCGGCCCGCGGAGGAGAGAAGGGCCGCCGCGCGTCCGGCCCGGGTGGCCGCGGGAGTCGGAACCTCGAGGAAGATGCCCGCGGGCGCCGAGCCCGGGCTGCGCGGCTGAGCGCCGTCCTCGCGGCGGCGGCGGAGGCGGCACTTGGCGAGCGCGGGAGCCGGGAGCCAGGAGCCGGCGGCGCGGCGAGAGGACCGGAGTCCGTCCGCCGAGCGCGCCTGGCCGGACCCGTGGGGTTCGCAGCGAGCGCGGGCGCGTCGGCCCGTATGGGCGCGGGGTCCGCGGCCCCCTCCGGGCGCTGCCGGGCGGCCCGGGCGCCGCGGGCCCGCTGAGCGCGCAGCCGCCGCCGCCGAGAGAACTTGCGCCCGCGGCCATGCCCCGGCGCGGAGCCTAGTGCCGCGCGGAGCCCGCGGTGCCGTCCCGACCTCGCAGCCCCGCGCCGAGTCCGCGCTCCAGACAAGATGGCGCGGCCGGTCCGGGGAGCGCTCCGAGCCCCGCGCCGCTCGCCTCGCCCGCTCCCCTGGCTGCTGCTGCCGCTGCTGCTGCTCCGGCCGGAGCCCGCCTTGGCCGCTGACCGGGCGCCCTGCCCCGCCGCCTGCACTTGCGCCGGGGACTCGCTGGACTGCGGCGGCCGCGGGCTGGCGGCGCTGCCCGGGGACCTGCCCGCCTGGACGCGGAGCCTGTGAGTACCGCGTCCCGGGCGCTGTCACTGGGGCCGGGCGGCGGCGGGCTTCTCCGGGGCCAGGCTGGGCGGGGTCCGGGAGGTGCGGTGGAGTTGGGGGGCCTGGGGAACTTAGCGTGGAGTGCAGTGGGGAGACCGTGCTCTGGGGTTCGGGAGAGAGGAGGGCGGGCGGGAGAAGCCTGCGCGAGAAGAGGGTGCTTGCGGGGTCCGGAGGGGAGAAGGGGGTGCTTGCGGGGTCCGGAGGGGAGAAGGAGGTGCTTGCGGGGTCCGGAGGGGAGAAGGGGGTGCTTGCGGGGTCCGGAGGGGAGAAGGGGGTGCTTGCGGGGTCCGGAGGGGAGAAGGGGGTGCTTGCGGGGTCCGGAGGGGAGAAGGGGGTGCTTGCGGGGTCCGGAGGGGAGAAGGGGGTGCTTGCGGGGTCCGGAGGGGAGAAGGGGGTGCTTGCGGGGTCCGGAGGGGAGAAGGGGGTGCCTGCGGGGTCGGGAGAGAGACCTGGGAGTGAGGGAGCGCGTCTGGGGTCCGGAGGTGGGAGAATGTGAGTGAGGCCGGAGGTGGGTGTTGCTCGCATGTGTGTGGGTGGAGAGTGGGGAACATCTGGAGAGGAGCGTGTGAGCAGGTCTGTCTGGGGGTCTGGGCGTCTGTTTCTTTTCCCCACTCCTGTAACCCAACTCTGTGGTGTCTGAGCTCCTTGGCCTTGCAGCGGTAATGAATGAAGGTGACTCTTGGCTCCGGTCTTTGCGTTTACATTATTTATTAGGAACTTGGCGCACTCCAGGGCAGAAAGCAGGCTTCGCTGGGGACATCCCCCCCTTCCTCCCAAGGAAGAGGACCTTGCGAGTTCTTCCTGGAAACCTGGGACTGCTGGGAGTGTGTCCTCTTCTGCTCGGTTGGCATGTTGGGGAACGGTGCTCCAGACCCTCCTGCCTGTTCCCTGGGCCCCCCTTGGGCTTGGTGACCCGGAGGGGGAGGCCCACCTTCTGCTTTATAAATGGTGCCAGTTAGTTTTGGAGTAGAGCTACCACTTCAGGAGAGGGTGTCAGGGGTTTGGTTGATGTGAGCAGCTTGTTTCACCCTAAAGCAGCTTGTTCTTCTGTGTTGTCAGGATATTGGCCTGTAGGACTTAGAGGGACACTTCTTTAAGGAGATTTGACAGGGGCGGAAAATAGACATTTGTAAACATGGTAGAGTATAACTTTTTAAACGTTTAAACAGTCTGGTCCACGAGTCAAAATCCTGCTCAGTTATCAGCAAGGAGCATCTCTGGAGAACTGAGTGCCTTCCAGAACAGCCTGGCTTGAGCAGTCTGCTTTGCAGTTGAATAGTTGGGAATCTTTCCCAGAGCATGGAAGAGGCACAGGGGTAACTACCCCCGGCATGACATTCGCCTTGTGAAAAAGAGAAACGGGTGACACATGTTTTAACTAACACCCGTGGCCTGACCTAGGAAAACGTGGCTGGAAATCAGCTGCCCCGGTGGGGAGCAGGAGGGGTTAATTCCTTGGCTGTGTGAAGATCTGGTTCCCGTGAAGATGGGGCCCAGGTCTACCGTGGACCACACTGCACACTTGTTGGGCGATCAAGTACTACAGAGTTCGAACCCGGGCCCTTCAGTTAGGGTTAGGTTTCCTCCTCCGTGTTCTGCCGCTGCTGTGGAGTTCAGTGACTTAGTGAAAACCAGTGGCCACAGTGTGGCTGTTCGCACGAGCAGTGGCCCTGTCAGGTACTGTGAGGACATGGCACTTAGGGAGAATTTTATTCAGTCAGGCCGTCTGGGGTATTGTGGCTTTTTTCTTTACATGCTCTTCAGGTAGTTTTTTTTTTTTTTTTTTTTTTAAACATCATGTGGGCAGAATGAGAAGAACTCTTCAGTGTCACCTGTTGGAAGAGTGATTCCCAGGGCCATGTGCCAGTGGCATTGTGGGAAAGGCGCTTGGTTCAGAAGTGGTGACTTCCCTGAGAGAGGACAGGGTGTTCTCCCATTTGCACTTTCCCTGAGGTCACAAGATCCACTTTACCTTGCCTTTTAATTTTCTGAGTGCATCTATTAGTTGTTTCTTAAGCATCCTGCTGCCTAGGACATTTTACATGGCACAAATACCTCTAAAACGGCAGCCTTTTCTCTTTTTTATAAAAAAATATGTTTTTATTGATTTCAGAGAGGAATGGAAAGGGAGGGAGAGATAGAAACATTATTGATGAGAGAGAATCATTGATTAGCCTCCTACATGCCCCCAACTGGAGTTCAAGCCCTTGCGGGACTCGAACCTGGGACCCTTCAGTCGGAAGCTGATGCTCTGTCTATTGAGCCAAACTAGCTAGGGCTGCAGTCTTTTCCCTTTTTTCACACATGATGATCCGTAAATACCAAATGGGGTGTTTGGAGCTTCAGTAGACTTGATTGCACTGATGATAGTGTTAACTGATGAGATTTTAAGATGAGTGTGACTTCTGGCTATACAATTTCAGTACCAAAATGGGTATCCTCTGAAAATTTGGGAAGTTGTTATTATTTTTTCTGATTAAAATAATCAGGCTAATATTTTTGTTTCTTTTTTTCCTCTAGACTTCTGATTTCCCACTTAAATCATTAGTCTTACTTTGAATTAATTTTTTAAGACACACACACATATATGGTTTATATTACTGGCTGTGATTCAGCAAGCCTTCAGGGAGAAAGTTTCTGTATGTATTATAATATGTTGTAGTTCACCAAGTTTATATTCTTTAAGTCTATATTGTATCTAGAAAATGCTTTGGCCTAATTTATAACCCCATGAACAAGATTTACTGCAGCTAGTTCAATCAATTTCAGGCTGTGCGTTTCAGACAGAAGGGACCTGTGGCTTTATAGAACTTTTTTTGTGGGGGGAGGGTTGGGGCTTTTGTAAACAGTGCACCTACTTTTGGAGTTGTTCTTGGGCCTAGCGTAAAGAAAGTAAAAAGTTTTAATAGTGAATGTAAGTGCAGTTTGAATAGACGGAATGGAGCTGTCCTGAGCCTGAGGACAACTTACTCAGCACAATAACTTATAGTTGTAGCAGTCAGGCTGTAACTGAGTCTGCAGTCCCATTACGTAGGTGAGATTGGCATAGTCCACCCAGCACATTCATAAATGGCACCACGCACTGCCAAGCCTTATTTTGACTTCCCAGAAACTTAGAAGTTTAACTTCTTAGAATTCAGATATTTGCTTTCTTTGAAATTATTTTTGAGAGCACGGCTTCAGAAACTGTTGAAGTATTAAACACAACATGCTTAGACCCTTATCGGTGGCACCCCCAGCACAGAGCTGCTAGCTTAACTGCTACACGATGGCCCATAAGGGGCTCTGGAGAAGCACCATTCCCGATTTTCAGTGAGGCAGGAAGACAGCCTGGCGTGCAGAAGCCAGGACATTGACTACAGGACACCAGATTGGTTATTCTCTGCCACATGGAGAGGAATGTGTTGGTTTGCCTTTATATTATGGCTCCTTATGTGTTTGTGGTACCAAACCCGGGTGCCTTAAATCTCGGGTCCTTGGGTATGTAAGTGGCACTTAGATTACTTCAGAAAAAAACACACAAGCCTTGGTCGCCTTTGTCCTTGTGAAGCAAAGAGGGCCTTTGTCTTCCAAATTGTGCAGCTGTGCTCCGAGGCCCAGGTGTGCAGGGTGCTGTGAATTAAAACTTTGGAGAATACTTCCCTTCCTGTTTATGCAAATTAGATTTAAAATGCAGATGGCCACGTTGTTCGGGAACCCAAACTGAGGTTCCTGTGTGTGTGCTTTTTAAGAAGTAGATCATTGTCCAGATTGTCCTGAGGTCTTCATTCCTCCGGCGTGTTCCAGTTTTATGTCTCCGTGTCATTTAACAAGGACTCGGGAGACAACCAACATCTTCCTACCTGCCCGGTGGGCAAAAGGTGGTTTGGAGTGGCACATGGGGAGGTGGCAGAGAATGTCTGAAAGGCGAGAGGGCTTTCACAGTTCTGCTTTAGCTGGCACTCTAGGCCTTTGGCGCCAAGTGTCAGAAGCATGGCCTTGCTCCTCCTGGAACACCTTTTTTCTGAGTAAGGGGAAGCGTCTGGCAAATGGAATTGGTTGCCTTGTGAGAGAGTTCCCCTGACATGAAATCACAGCCACAAAGTGCTCAGAGACACCTCTCCCCCTGCCTCCCCCCCTCCCCCAGCTGTGCTGGCACAGTGTCCCTCTTGCCTTTAGGGTGTCAGAACTGTTCTTGCCCCCCTTTTAAAGGGACGGTTTCGAACAGAAGTGTGTTCATCTCTTTCCATAATTATATTTGATTTTTTTTTTAATGTGTTGTTGGCAGTAATACTTCACCTTGAGAAAGATGAAGACGATTCAGCTGTAGGCACAGCTGGTTCCTAGGGGATATCCCAGTTGGGCATCCCAGCTCTTCTCCTCAGGCAGAGGGTCCCCCCTGCCGTGTGAAAGCCTTTGCCTGGGTTCCCCACGCAGCCTTCCCTGAGCAGTGGAATGGCCTCTGGCTGACCTTTCTCTCTCTCAGACACAGGCTTACAATGAAAGGGCCTCCCCCGCCCCCCCCCTTTCCCCCCCATTCTGCAGAGGTGTCTCCTTGGTGCAAAGTCTTTTCAGCACCCCCTCTCTGGGGTGGACAGGAATGCGAGAGGGCAGGAGGGTTTTGTGTGACTTAACATTGCACCTGGACCAATTTTGTGCACCTGCTAAAGCCCTGCAGATCTGTTAGCAGGAAGGCGGAAGGAGGTTGTTTAAAATAGCCTCTGGTTATTTTAAAAGTGATATTCACAGGCAAAGGCATCTAGAAAAGGGACTCATTGAATTGAAAGTCACTGTAAGCAATAAGGAATATTGGTTGTCCCAGGACTTTTTAATTCTTTTTGTTTGTTTGTTTGTTTGTTTAAAACTCAGAGATTCCGCTGACATAACTCATAAGTTGAACTACTTTATGCTTCATGAGCAAGCCTGATTTTCAGTTCTTTGAATGAGCTTGGTGACATTTACTCACTGGGGACTTGCCCCT